GCATCCCTGATTTGTCCTCCGTACCCTCTCCCCTACGCTCCCACGGGCATGGCCGCCAGCAAGCATCGCTGCGGCTACTCTTCCGCACACGATGCCTCTGCACGGTGATAAACTGCACTTTTCTGTTGGCCGCGCCGAGCGCGGGTAAGGCTGCCAGCGAGAATCACGGCTGATAGCTCGCATGCAGCGCCACCCTCACCAAAAAAGCAGAGGTTGCCCCCTGGGCTCTGTCGCGCGGCCTCTCCCTGCCTCGCCGGGTTTGCCCCAGATCGCCGTCTTCTCGGCGCCCCCGGACGCCCCCAGCAGCAGTTTCCTCTTCTCTCCCTTTTCCCATCGTTTTCCACTTCCCTTCCCCTCTCATTCACCCGCCTCCCCCCACCTCGCCTCATTTGATTCCTCCATAACCCTTCTCTTATTTCCCTCCGCCCTCTTCCCCCTTTCGCTCCCCATCGCTCTTCTTTGGCTAGCTTCGGGGTCACGAGGCTCGTAGCGGTGGTGCTAGTGCGTTGCGGTGTGCTTGATGCCCCTCCAAGCCCCTCCAAGGCGGCCCTCAGATGGCCCCAAGACCCAACGCCAGGACTCGACGATCACCGAAGACCCCTATAGACCGATTAGATCCGAAGCCCGAAAACCATCACGTCACTAGTTTGGGGCCCCAGGGCCCACTGAGGCCCCAGGGGCTCCAGATTAGTGAAGTGATGTTTTTTCCCACGTAAGGACCCCGAAATTCATCACTTCACTTAACCGAGCCCGGGACGAAAGTCAGAGGCCGAATTGATGCTGTGATGCAACATCGGTCTCGTATTAGAGGCTCGCATAAAGGTACCCAGCCCCTAATCAAGATGTTCCACGTAGCTCTCGGAGAGTGCCCCAAGAGGGTCCCAAGACGGCCCAGGATAACCGCCAGATGTTCGCCCAAGGATCCCAACATTGCCCAAGATGGCGCCAAGACGACTCAAGAGCGCCCAGAGATGTCCCAAGAAGGCTCGAAGACGGCCCAGGAAAGCCCAAGCGGGGCCAAGGTGGCCCCAAGGAGGCTGCACAGCAGCCCCAGAAGGACCCCACAACGGCCAACACCGCTGGCCCTATTGTCTGTGCATGTCTGTGTCCGACTAGAACCGAAGCGCTCGAAGCGCGCGCGCGTTGTCTTACGTTCACAATGTGGCCGTTTCTTTAACTTCTTCACGCTTCGCGTATCCCCACCAGTTCGTCCTCGTGCTTCGTGTGGGTCTTGCCTCACGGCACAACTCTAATTTTCCAGCATTTTGCTGGGCTGCAAGTGCCCGAGCTTCCCTGGATGCCCTCAGCCTGTCAGCTTTCCCGCGCAGCACAGCAGCTGCCTGGTGAGCGGGCCCGGCCGGCCGGCGGCGCTTCCAGTAGCTAATTCTTGACGCTTCGCGTATCCCCACCAGCCCATCTCAAAACAGCAACTCTAGCGAAGCATGCCGACAGTCGTGTTTTTCAGGCGTGTTTCCGCCTGCCCCCGCATATCTCCCCTGTTCCTCCTTCCTCCCGCCTCCTTGTACATCCTCCTTGTGGTGGGAGCGGGAGAAGGACGAGGCGGAGGAGGAGGGAGAGAAAGCGCTCCTCGTGGTTTGAGTCGTTCGGGCTTCTCGTCCTGGTGTGAGTCGTTCGGGCCCTTCTTCCTGGTGTGAGTCGTTCGGGCTCTTCGTGGTGTGAGTCGTTCGGGCTCTTCGTCCTGGTGTGAGTCGTTCGGGCTTCTCGTGGTGTGAGTTGTTCGGGCCCCTCGTCCTGGTGTGAGTCGTTCGGGCCCCTCCTCCTGCCCGTCCAGAAACGACGCCCAGGCGAGTAGAGGGTCGTCCTGATGGGCTTTTCGGCGTCTTGGGTGCCTCGGGGGGGCCTCTTTGGGCCGTTTGGGATCCTCTTGGGGGCTTCCTGGGGGCCTCTTGGGGCCATCTTGGGGCCTCTTGGTGCCTCCTGGGCGCTTCTCGGGGCCATCTTGGAGAAAATCGATCAAAGAAGAGGGGAGCTTTAATTAGCGCTGCCCCCTCAGAAGGCCAAAATGAGGCCAAAACCTTAGTAAAATCAATGATTGTGGCTTGAAAGAAGAGGGGGGCTTTCATTCGCGCTGCCCCCTCAGAAGGCCAAAAAACCGTAGTAAAATCAATGATTTTGGCTTCAAAGAAGAGGGGAGCACTTTTCTTCCCCCCCCCCGTCGGGGCCAGAATCCTCGTGAGGGGTGTCGTTTTTTAGCCCTCCCAGGAGTCGAAAAAGACCCCTCCGGCGACCCGCGGAGGGACCTCTCCAGGCCCAGGGGGAGGGGGGAGGGAGAGGGGTGAACCCCTCCCCGAAGGGGAAGAAGGGGGGTTGAGAACAGAGAGAGCTCGCTAAACCACTCACGCCCAAAGGGCTGGTGGGATTAGGCCGTTACCGCGCCCCGGAACGCTTCTGACTCCGCCTGCGCCTTCGCTTGCGGACGCGACCAAAAAAAGTACCCCCACCAGTCGAGCGATCGACCTCTGCGTGTTTATGGTTGCGC